CTAGGTACGTTTTCTTTTCTTTTTTTTTTGAAATTGAATTAGCGAAGCTTCGCCTCTTCGCACAATTTGGAACTGATGCTTGTTTTTTTTTGTTAACTGCTATTTTAGCGCAGCAATTCGTTGATTCATGAGCAAAACCTTGGCCCCAGGCAAGGTTCGAACCTGCATCTTTTGCTTACCAGGCAATGTTACCACCTGCACTACCGGAGCACCACTTTATGGTAGCTCGGCTACACTGCCCGAACATCACTTCGACCCAGCTCAGCTGCAAATGTAGGTGCTTGCACAACAGCCTGAGAAGCAAGGGTTCGAATGACACCCGTGGGCGAGGTTTTGTTCGAGAATCAGCCTTCTTGTAGAATTTTCACAACGCGAAGTGCGGCACAACAGCCTGGAAACTAGGGATGCAGGTTCGAATCCCGCTTGGGAAGAAACTTATGTCCATGAGTCCATTCTTGTGAAAATTTTGCAACGCGAACTGCGGCGTTGAAACAGCAATTAACAGGCAAAACAAGCCACGAATTCAATTGATACATCATTCTAAATTCACTCAAAGACGGCCACCTTTTTTGCTCTCCTTTTGCTGGGAGATTTTTTATGGGAATGAATAACGGCTTAAAAGTTAGAGGGTGAGTCACATATACCTGAGACTGTAGGATTATTGTGATTTGGCAGGTATTGCCTGGATCCAGTTTCTTCTCTTGCCAGGAAGGTCTTACAGGGAATACCCTGCTTCGTCAAAATGGTTTCTCGCATGTTGCATATGTGTACGTAGAACACCGAACTGTAGTTCATTTTTTCTGAGCATTCCGCTGAATGCCAGAAAAGGTAGTGATGAAGTAGTCCGTGGTTCGAATCTTCGTGGTGACAATTTTTTTTTGCATTCCCGACTAGCGCTCGCATGATGTCGCAAAATGGTATCCGCGGCCAGTGGTGGATCTCATATTACAGTCAGGACCATTAGTAACCCATATGAGTAGGTTTTTACCAAAAACCTGTTCCAAAAAGGTATGTCGCTCGAGCTTTTTTGACCCCCTTTTTGCTCATTCAGAGGGCTTCTAAGGAAAAATGAACTACAGTTCCGAGATCCATGCAGGTACCCCTCTAGCATGCAAAAAACCGTATGGATAAAGCTGGGAATTTCGTTAAAGGCCTCCCTGTTTAGGTGAATACTCATCTGACTATGAAATCGTTGCTTTTAGATGTCGGTATGGCAAATCACAGCTGCCTAAACATGGTCTTATATCGAATGTTGTTAAAGCCGTTCAAGAAAGTGAGTGCCTCAATAAATAGAAATATCATACAGCCAAATGCAGTCACAGTGACAAGAGCCTTTATTTTTGTTCACTGTTTCCAATTAGCACAGTGGCGACAACGTGACCCTATAGTGGATCATGTTGTAACTTGTTTTGGTTAATTTCTCGGTGGATTTTTCATAGTCTAGAACTAGAACTGTCTTAGGGTCGGGGTCGTGAAAAATAGATTCGATAGTAATGAAATCGTTGAAGGTAATGAGCCCTGGTAGAAAAATAAAGGAAGATCTACGCACAACGATGGCCGTCAATAGACTTTACTGCTCTTAATGTTGGGGTTTGTCTTTCGATACCCAGCACATTTATCTTTTTTCAGTCTCTGTACATTTTGTATCAAATTTCTAGAGCCGAGGACTTGTTTTATTGTCACTTTATCCGTATAATTTCCAATAATTTCACTTTTTTAGAAACTATATCAGATTGTTACCTGGTACCCGTGTCGTACACGTATGACGGCGTTGCTGAAGGCGTTTTCCTGGACGAACTTATGGGGATTCCAAAGGTATGTTTCCCAACTCACCAGACATACTGCTTTGCAAAGCCATACATTATCCATGAATTTCACAAAATTCGCCCCGAGAGGTGTTTTCGAAAAGTCCAATAAGAAAATGTACTAGTATAAATGCAACTTCGCACATAAACACAAGTTGAAGTTGGGAAAAATTTATCTTTGCTTCTCGAAGGAAGTCCCTCTGTCCGATTTTGTAAACTGCTAGTACTGCTAAGCTTGATGGATCTTCCCTGATTTCTACCAAGAGGGAAGCCATCACGATAAAGTGGGACCTCATCGGAGAAGTATATGCGCCACAGAAAGTAGCTAGCTGGCTGTCAACGAAGTGAGGTATGGCGCTTTCACGCGAAAGGTGCGCTGGTTGTCAAGCAATACTTCGAAAGTATGTATTCAGCTCTAAAAGCGATCCGCCCTTTATTTTAGTTGGTGATCTGGACGAGCTGTGTTACCAGCAGCAACACAACTGAAGCTAATCGAGTGGAGCATGGTTTAGCGTAGTGCCACCATACGCGTTGTATAAACACGTCCATAAGTCTGCTGTCTCAGCCGTTGCCCATTCGTATACGAAAATTAACGGCTAGACAATAGGTCACCTTTTCGCGTTCTCTTGACGGATTTCTTTGCTTTTCGCGTCACCGGCATACCGATGAGCACCCCCACGTCCCCAATCAACCCCTCTGGAACCTATCGTATTCGCTGCCTCTAAACGTTGATAATCATGAAGCAGTTTCACCACGCAGATTTAAAGCACAGTTAAACGTGGATATGTCATTTTGCGCAGTCCGCCAAAGCGACCTAAAAAGCGCAGATGTTTTTTTTCCTATTCGAAACTGAGATTCTGTGGAATTTTGTGTTTCTACCTAGTACATTTGCTGATTAGAGCCTTTTAAGGAAATTTGAATTTTTAAGTAGTTTATGGGTGATCGTAAATGATTCAGCTGTGTATGCTTCTGTTGTGAACAGCATAGAGTTTCTCAACAGTGAGAATACTTGTAAATAGGGAGTTTTTATGATTCTATCTCTTCACTTACTGCACTTGAAGCGAGTATTACTTCCTCATGTTTGAGTATTTGCAAAAACTGCGCTGTCATTTATTAATTTCCTGCTTTCTGGTCGTTATCAGCACTACTCTAAAGGCTGGAATTACAATGTTTCTGCTAATAATTTTAATGTGATAATCCCACTTGAATATGAATGTACAGGGAGTTCCATAAGTTCTGCAACACACTTCTTGACTCGTAACTTCTCTCAAACTAGGCGTGTCTTTAAGTGGCCACACGCAGTCTTATTCGGCCGTTAAGGTGTTGAAAGGAAAGACACATATTCGATAAGGCCCTTTGTCGCTGTGACTTTGGCTATCAGTTGCTTCGAGCACAACGCTACTGAGACCCTAATCTACATAATGACAATAATAACAAACAGATTAGGTAGTAGGCGGAGAGATATATGAAACTAATAAAACTATAACAATGGTTCACAAGGATTATGTCTCACCGTGAATTTGTGACCACTTCGTTTGAAAATTTTCGTCATTATAGAAACGTGAGAGTGTATTTCGAGTGTTATGCGGCGTGCTGAAGAGTTTCGGCAAACCCAAACGTTGCGGTACCGTGCGGATGCATTTTGGTACCCCCATTCTGCTCACGGTTCGTTGATCTTTCTGCTTTTTTATATTTATGCGATCATGCAAGTCGGTCAGGAGTCTCACAGCGCGGTTGACGCGCAGAGACGCAGGGAAATTCTCAGCGTAATATTTTAAAGTGATGTAGTCTTTTAATGCAAAATTATTGGGTTGGGGTGCTCCACGGTTGTAGTCGTGCGCCATTAGTACCACAACATGAATTCAAATATTCGACGTTTGCTTAATTGCTATTGGTTTGAGAAATTTTGCACATGCATGGATATAGTTCATGGCTTTCCTGGTGTAGAAAGTGAAGACTGAGTGGAAACAGCACTGGGCTTTCCCATGAATCGCTTTCCCTCTCGGCCTTCAAACGTAGACGGGCGTGAATTTGATTGAATGCGGTGTCTTCTACAACGAATGCTATTTGCGGCACCATTATCGCGCGGTAGACCTCCTGTACCACACCCATGCGGTCATTGATACCAATTGATACTAATTGCAGGATTACATGAACGCTCTCCACGAAGCTCTTTCCTCTCGCAAAGTCATGCCTCAGCTAAGTCGCATTCCTCATGCTGTGTCGTACAGGTGCATCTTTGTTTCTTCTTCACTGTGGATGTTTTGATGCAAAGATTTCATTCTGTTTCCAGGGAACTTGTGCCGTGGCACACAGGACATAAGGAAAAGCCGG